CTCGGCTTGAACCAGGTCCTGCTGAGAAAGGTCAATGATACAAACCGAATCTAAATTATCCTCCCTCTGCATCTGTTTCTGTCTCTTGTTTTTCCACCTGGGCTCCCTGATAAATGTGCATCCCTTTCTGAGAGGGCACATCGAGTAGGGCCTTGGCCTCTGGTGACTACTTCCCCTTGTTCGTTGCTGTCTGCTCCTCCTCATGCCTGGAGGTTAATGGCCAAGTGTGACCCAGCTGCTTCTAGCTTTGGTTCTCTCAGGAAGGGCAGAGAAAGGTCATGTTTATTTTGGTCTCCCGACCTGCAATGAAGGTCTTTATTTAAGTGACTTGTAACAACATGAAGAATGGCAACTTTGCTAATAGTTTAAGAAAAGTGTAGAAGAATTGCATGTACAGCTGTTTCCTATATTATTATTATTATTTTAGTTTTGTTTTGTTGTTGTTTTGGGTTTTTTTTTTGAGATGGAGTCTGACTCTGTTACCCAGGCTGGAGTTTAGTGGTGTGATCTCAGCTCACTGCAACCTTTGCTTCCTGGGTTCAAGCAATTCTCCTGCCTCAGCCTCCTGAGTAGCTGGGACCACAGGCGTGTGCCACTACAGCCGGCTAATTTTTTGTGTCTTTAGTAGAGATGAGGGGTCACCATGCTAGCCAAGATGGTCTCGATCTTCGACCTCGTGATCTGCCCGCCTTGGCCTCCCAAAGTGCTGTGATTACAGGTGTGAGCCACCGCTCCCAGCCTATTATTTTAAATTGTTTAGGCCGGGTGCAGAGGCTCATGCCTGTAATCCCAGCACTTTGGGAGGGTGAGGTGAATGGATCACTTGCGTCTGGCAGTTTGAGACCAGCCTGGGCAACATGGTGAAACCTCGTCTCTCCAAAAAATACAAAAATTATCTGGACATGGTGGTGCGCGCCTATAGCCCCAGCTACTCAGGAAACAGAGGTGGGAGGATCACTGGAACCCAGGAGGTTGAGGCTTCAGTGAGGCATGACCGTGCTACTGCACCCCAGCGGTGACAGAGTGAGACCCTGTCTCAGGAAAAAAAAAAAAAAAAAGTATTATTTTAATGGGCAGCCCCCAGAACTGGAAGAGGTTCAGAGGACTCCTTATTTCCTACATTAGACACATGAAAGGAGAGGGCATGAAGTTACAATTAATTTTTAAAATCTTATCAAAATAATACATAAGCACAGTTTAAAATGTTTGCTTATGGTTGACTAGGTAAATCAAAGTTACCCTACTCCATCTGGGCATGGTGGCTCACTCCTATAATCCTGGCACTTTGGGAGGCCAAGGTGGGAGGATTGCTTGAGTCTAGGAGTTGGAGACCAGCCTGGGCAACATAGGGAGATCCCTGTCTCTATAAAAAAATTTTAAAAATCTTCCTTCTAAGTGAAGTGATGAAAAAAAGAAAGCTAGCCGGATGCGGTGGCTCACGCCTATAATCCCAACACTTTGGGAGGCCAAGGCGGGTGGATCACAAGGTCAGGAGTTTGAGACCAGCCTGGCTAATATAGTGAAACTCCATCTCTACCGAAAAAAGAAAAATCAGCTGGGTGTGGTGGTGCGTGCTAGTAGTCCTAGCTGCTCAGGATCTGAGGCTGGAGAATCGCTTAAAACCGGGAGGCTGAGGTTGCAGTGAGCTGAGATCACGCTACTGCATTCCAGCCTGGACGACAGAGCGAGACTCCATCTCAAAACAATAATAATAAAAAATAAAATAATAAAAAGCCAGGCACGGTGGCTCACATCTGTAATCCCCCAGCACTTTGGGAGGCCGAGGCAGGTGAATCACCTGAGGTCAGGAGTTCGAGACCAGCCTGATCAACAAGGTGAAACCCCATCTCTACTAAAAATACAAAAATTAGCCGGGCATGGTGGTGGCGCCTCTAGTCCCAGCTGCTCAGGAGGCTGAGACAGGAGAATTACTTGAAGCTGGGAGGTGGAACTTGCAGTGAGCCAAGTTTGTGCCACTGCACTCCAGCCTGGGCGACGGAGCAAGACTCTGTCTCAAAAAAAAAAAAAAAAAAAAATCCAGAAAGTAAAAATAAAATAAAATAAATTAGCTGAGTGTGGTGGTGTATGCCTATAATCCCAGCTACTTGAGAGGCTGAGGCAGGAGGATCACTTGAGCCCAAGAGTTCAAAGCTGCAATGAGCTATGATTGTGGCACTGTACTCCAGCCTGGGGGACAAAGTGAGACTCTGCCTCAAAAATAAATAGATAAATAAGTAAAAATAAAAAGTAAGAGATGAGCTACTCAGAAGGAATACGGAATAGGGTCTACCTCCTGCCACCGGATTCACCACTGTTTTCGTCCAGTGCTGAGCCCAACCACCTGGGTCACCTCGGGCTCCTGCCAACAGTCTTTCCTTGAACAACTGGTGGCTGAAATGAAGGATTCCCCTACCAACCACCAGCATTGGGAGACTATGCCACCAGACCCCACTGTAGAGAAGGAAACTCATGTCTGGTTCTATGTCCAAAACATTTATTTTCAGGAAATATTTGTGCCTGCACAACAGGGGAAATTTGTGAGGTGTCTGTGGCTTGCTACAGTGACATCTGGCAGGACTAACTGGGTCATCAGAGCCACAGAATAAGGACTGGGAAGGTGACCACAACTGTGAAGACTGGGGCCATGTTGGGGGAGGACTCTGAGAGGGACAACTTGGCTGATAACTTGGGTGTCCAGTGTGTGGGAATCTCAGTGAGTTTCTGGTCTGAAGTCAGACTCTGTCTCTGACGCAGACGTGAGAGGTCGGAGCGGCAGGAACTGCTCAGCTGCTCATCCGGGAACTTGTCTTCCAACGGGCTTCGCCATTCGTTTTCTTCCTGTACCTAGAGGTGGAAGTTGGTGCTCAGCTTCCACAGCTGTCCTCGACACACCTGCTCAGACCCCTCGGCTACTCTCTTGCCCAGCCCAGAGTACCTTTTCCACTCGACTGAAGACCCGCAGCAGGTTTCCACGAAGGACACCTTGAAGCTCTTTCTCACTCCAGCTACGACTCAGCAACTCCTCTATCAGGACCGGGTATGTGGACACGTCCTCCAGCCCCTGAGGGAATCTATGTGGCCACCAGCCAGTGGGTTTCAGACCTGATTCCCTGATCCTGACTGAGAACCACAGTCCAGGGTCCATGAAACCCCAACCCTAGTCAGGTATGGGAAGTGGAGACTTGGAGAGAGTAGGTAATCCTCCTCTGCTCTTCTTCCTTCAGAAGGAGGCCTCAAAACCGCCTTGAATATTTATCAAAACTCATTGAATCATACTATTAAGATCTATGCCTTTTACTGAATGCAAATGATCCCCCCTACCAACCAGAGTTAAAAAGAAGAAAATGGCCAGGTGTGGTGACTCACACCTGTAATCCCAGCACTTTGGGAGGACAAAGTGGGTGGATCATTTGAGGTCAGGAGTTCGAGACCAGCCTGGCCAACATGGTGAAACCCAGTCTCTACTAAAAATACAAAAAAGAGGCCAGGCGTGGTGACTCACGCCTGTTATCGCAGCACTTTGGGAGGCTGAGGCAGGAGGATCACGAGGTCAGGAGTTCGAGACCATCCTGGCTAACATGGTGAAACCCCGTCTCTACTAAAAGTACACAAAAATTAGCTGGGCGTGGTGGCGGGCGCCTGTAGTCCCAGCTACTCGGGAGGCCAAGGCAGGAGAATGGCATGAACCCAGGAGGCGGAGCTTACAGTGAGCCCAGATCATGCTACTGCACTCCAGCCTGGGCAACAGAGTGAGACTCTGTCTCCAAAGAAAGAAAGAAAGAAAATTAGCTGGGCATTGTGGCACACGCCTATAATCCCAACTACTTGGGAAGCTGAGGCAGGAGATTCACTTGAACCCAGGAAGCAGAGGTTGCAGTGAGCTGAGACTGCGCCACTGCACTCCAGGCTGGGCAACAGAGTGAGACTCCATCTCAAAAAAAAAAAAAAAAAAGAAGAAGAAGAAGAAAAGGCCCAGTGAGGTGTCTCAGGCCTGTAATCCCAGCATTTTAGGAGGCCAAGGCAGGAGGACCATTTGAGTCCAGGAGTTCAAGACCAGCCTGGGCAACATAGTGAGAACCCATCTCTGCAAAAAATAAAATTATCTGGGCATGATGGCACATGCCTGTAGCCACAGCTACTTGCAGGCTGAGATGGCAGGATCACTTGAGCCCAGAAAGTCAAGGCTGCAGTGAGCCAAGATTGCGCCACTGCACCCCAGCCTGGCCAACGGAGCAATACCCTGAGAAGAAAAGAAGAAGAATAAAGAGAAGAAGAAAAGGAAGAAAGAAGAAAGAGAAGAAGAAAGAAGGAGGAGGAGGAGGTGAAGAAGAAAAAGGAGGAGGAGGAGGAAGAGAAGGAGAAGGAGAAGGAAAAGGAGAAGGAGAGGAAGAGCTTCTTCAGAAAACAATGGTTGCAAACACAGCCCCTGTGCACAGGGCAGAGAAGATGGTGAGCACACACCAGACCTTGCTGACGGTCTGTTCAGAGAGAGTGGGTCTACTGGGGCTGGGGGATGAGCTCTGTCTGGTAGTTTAGCCAAGTATAACGTCCAAAGTGGGGTCACTGGGATGAAGACAAACAGGAGAACCCAAAGAACTGATCCTGGGAGTAGGGAGATGCCAGGTGGTCAAGGCCTAAAGGACATGATGGCTATGGTGACCGTGAAGTCCCCACTGCTGTACAGCTAGCTCCAGACAAGCCACAGGGAAGCACTCACTTGCCGGCCCCATCATAATCTCCGCCAATCCCAATGAACTTGGATCCGATGACTGCCTTGATGTGGTCGAAGTGATCTGGGGAAGGGGCAGGTGGAGAGTCAGCTGCGTAGGGCTTCCAGGGCAGGGGTGCCACTGGGCTGGACGGCAGTGAGTCTCTTTGCAGCCTGTAGGCCAGGCAGGCTAATTCCTTCATGGCCTGCCACATAGCTTGGCAACCTGAGAACCCTGAGGTTTGACCTGAATGGATTCAGCTGGTTCTGGCCTGGACTTCAGGTTTGGAGTGGATCCACAGAGCCACCTGTCTGGGCCATTTCCCACCTAGGATTAAACCTGCCTCTAGTCTCTTTAGAATCTGGTAGGAACTCTTTTCTTTTCCTTTTTTATTTTTTCTGAGACAGTGTCTCGCTCTGTTGCCCAGGTTGGAGTGCGGTGGCACAATCTCGGCTCACTGCAAGCTCCGCCTCCTGGGTTCACGCCATTCTCCTGCCTCAGCCTCCTGAGTAGCTGGGACTACGGGCGCCTGCCACCACGCCTGGCTAATTTTTTGTATTTTTAGTAGAGACAGGGTTTCACCATGTTAGCCAGGATGGTCTCGATCTCCTGACCTCATGATCCGCCCGTCTCGGCCTCCCAAAGTGCTGGGATTACAGGCGTGAGCCACCGCGCCTGGCCGGTAGGAACTCTTTTCTATGGTTGTGGGAGATGACAGAGGGACAAAGAGTACAATCGACAAAGACCCCAGAGACCTAAGGGGCCTTCCAGTCTCTTGGCCAGAGGCTGAGGCAGGGTGCTTTTGTGACCCCCTGCAGAGGCGCAGACAGTTAGCACTCAGGTTCTATGGGTAGCTTCCTCCCTTATACCCATCAGGACTGCAGCATTGACTCTGTGGCTGCAGCTCCACATGACCAAGGTGCTGTGTACTGTCTATCATTGCATTTTTTTCAGTGAAACCACTGGGACAGTACTGAGGCCCTCCCAAGTCTTCAGGTGCAAATCAGAACTGTTCAGAGAGCCCAGGAGTAGGGGTTACCTGCCACAGTGGACACACTGGCTGACGGGTTGCACTGTATTACTCCCATGGACAGAGACACCATCACGATGCCACCGTTCTTCTTCTGCAGGGGCGGGCAAGTGGACACTCAGCCTGGCCCCTCAGCAAACTGCATTCCCACCCTGCCACCCTCTGGATCCCTGGAGGGGGTGTTCAGTCCTGGCTTCAGGAGTCAGAGGAAATTTTACCTCTCTGGTTTTGTGTGAGTGGCGGAGTCTAGGCCCTGGTCTGGCACAGGTGTCTTGGCACTTACTTTGAGGAGTAGAGGAATATACATATTTATCATCTAGAACCCCCTACTCCTGGATGTGGACTGTGGGGTTGTGGAGCAAATGGTGTTCAGCCTGAAGTTAGAGGAAGTGGAGGGAGCAGGACCTCAGGTTTGAGGGCTCCTGTTTTTTGTTTTTGTCTTTGTTTTCCGTGGCAGGGTCCCACTCTGTCACCCAGGCTGGAGTGCTGTGGTGTGATCTTGGCTCACTGCAACCTCCGCCTCCCAGGTTCCAGAGATTCTCCTGCCTCAGCCTCCCAAGTAGCTGGGATTACAGGAATATGCCACCACACCTGGCTAATTTTTGTATTTTTAGTAGAGATGGCGTTTCCCCATGTTGGCCAGGCTGGTCTTGAACTCCTGACCTGAAGTGATCCACCCACCTCTGCCTCCCAAAGTGCTGGGATTACAGGTGTGAGCCACCGTGCCTGGCCAAAGGGCTCCTGGTTTGAACCTCTTGCTTGAGGTTCCTGTGCTGGGCAGTTTCTCACCAGAAGCTGCAGGATGTCATCGGGAACATTCAACGAATTGTCACACACAGCTCTGGCAGCTGAGTGGGAGAAGATCACAGGTGCCTGTGATACTTCCAGGGCCCGCCGTGCCACAGCATCTGAGACGTGGGACAAGTCTACCATCATGCCCAGGCGGTTCATTTCTGCCACCACCTTCTGCAGGGACATGTTGGGGGAAGGGTATCAGGGATGCCCATGTGTGTACATTTATCTGTAAGAAACAGCTGGGGTGTGCACATCTGTGTGGGGTGGAGTTGTGAACCAGGGTCCTCACCTCACCAAAGCCAGTCAGCCCGCTGACGTTGTTGTAGAAGGAGTGGACGCCCTTAGCTGAGCTCTCTGCCCTGCAGGTGGCCAGGAAGCAGTCTAACTGGTAGCTGTTCCGTGGCCTCAAGAGCCTAGAGGCCCTACCCACCCTCCATCCCTGCAACCCCCTGAAACAAAAACAGGGATCCAAAATGGGCCATGCAAATGGGCCATGCCTGGCAGCAGGAGTGCCCTGCTGGGTCCAGTCTTTTTTTTTTTTTTTTCCCCCTTTTCTTTTTTTTTTTTTTTTGAGATAGAGTCTCGCTCTGTCTCCCAGGCAGGAGGGCAGTGGTGCGATCTTGGCTCACTGCAACTTGCACCTCCTGGGTTCAAGAGATTCTCGTGCCTCAGCCTCCCGAGTATCTGGGATTACAGGCATGCACCACCACACATGGCTAATTTTTGTATTTTCCATCAAAATAGGGTTTCACCATCTTGGCCAGGCTAGTCTCGAACTCCTGGCCTTTAGTCATCTGTCCGCCTCAGCCTCCCAAAGTGTTGCGATTACAGGTGTGAGCCACCGCATCTGACCAGGGGTCCAGTCATATTCTGAAAACCAGAATCCCAGCTTCCCTCCCCACTCGAGTCAGTGCCAGGGTAAAGCTTGTTCTGGGACCACAGTGACCTCAGGCACATCTCTGCCCCTGCCGCGGCGGTCCCACACCATCTGTGGTAGGCTCACCAGGGCGTGTTGCAGGTGTGGGTGAGTGTCAGGTAGCGCACTCCCAGCATGTAGAAGGTACGTAAGATGGAGAGGCTATTGTCCAGCGAGTGGCCACCCTCCACACCGATGAGGCAGGCCAATTTCTGGGTGTCATTCAGAGCTGGGGGCAGGTAGGTCAGGTGATTACTCTCGAGGTCTGGAGTAGCTCAATCAAGTTCCTAACACTTCCCATCAACTCACCTACCTTTAGCCGAGGTCACAAGCTCCAGCTCAGAATAGGAGGCACACATGCGGCGAATGAGGTCAATCTGCTCTAGGGTGAGGCGCAGGGCATCCCGGTCCTGGGTCTGGCATGGAACGTAGGCTGACCAGAACTGGGGGGAAAGCCAGGGGTTGGCTTGGACAGGGGCTGCTTTGGAGCACCCTGGACTGCTCACAGCCTCCACAGCTGACACAGCACCCAGTGGGCCAGGAGGTCACATGTAATGCACTGCTTCTTCCACGGGGTCTTCCTGGCCACCAAGCTGGTTCATTGTAGCCTCTGCAGCCCCCAGCATCCGTATCATGACACTTTTTGGGTCACTATGGTAACTGAGTTCTCATGTGACTAACTTGTGATCTCTGGGGTCCCCACTCTCTCCAACATACCCCAGCAGCCATGCTGTGGCACCTCATGTATCCCTGTGGTACCTGGGCGCCCACGAGGCCATCTCTAAGCCTGTCCAGGCTGGTCTGGCCGTAGCTGAAATTGCGCAGGTTAACATCCGGTAGCCCTTTCTGGTAAACCTGCCTCAGGACCAGGGGCAGGTCGTTGTGGCTGGAGGGATGTCAAGGCAAGGTCAGGTGAAGAACAGACAGATGGGCCTCTTAGCCCTCCAGTTCAGGAAGGACACATCTGGGGATCCCCATCCCACATTGTCACACGACTATACTGAGACCCCCTGAGGCCCGGGCTAGGAGTGCCCACCCAAGACAGAGGGGAAAGAGTATCCATGCATGACGGGAGAGGGCATCCAGGTGAGATGTGAGGGAGCCTCCTCCACAGCCCTGCATACTCTGGGACCCTCCCTTGCCCAGGAGTGCGCTCAGTCCCATAGCCCCCTTGCAGCAATTACGCACCCGTCCACTAGCGGGAAGTCCCGCATCAGGGCCCGTGCCTGCTCTCGCAGGCCCTGGGTGCTGGGACTACCGAGTGTGGTCGAGGGAGCGTAGGTGCCTGGCATGGTGTGGGCTCTGGGGGCGCCCAGCGTGGTGAGGGCTCTGGGGGCGCCCGGCGTGGTGTAGACGCAGGTTACAGGCTGGAGCAGCAGCAGCAGGAGCAGGAGCAGGAGCAGCGGACTCAGCAGAGGCCACCGACCAAACGTGCCGGGACCCTCAAGGCTCGCGGGCTGCATGTTGTGCAGGGGCGGGCAGGCGGGCAGGGGTGGCGGTCAGAGAGCCTGAGAGGGGCGGGCGAGGGGCAGAGCGCGACGATGGAGTCCTGACCCTCGATTCAGGCCACCCGGCGGAGTGGCCTCACGAGGAGGGTAACGAAGTCACAGGGCCCCACGAAGGATGTGCGGGGAGCGGCGGCACCGCACAGTGTGGCCACCAGGGGGCGCCCAGCCCTCCCGCCGTCATCCCCAAGGGCCCTCCCGCTGGCTGGGCGAATCCCTGTCCTGGGCACCCACTCGCGGCCTGTCTCAGGCCCCTCCACTCTCCCTGTTACCCCTCCCACTGTCCCCAGGGGTCTGACCCAGGTGGCTCCTCTGCTGCCCCTAGGCCCCCTCTGTAAGAGAGAGGGCCTGGGGTGCTTCTCCCAAACAGTGGCCCTCTGCCCTGCCCTGGGAGATCTGTGGACCTCATCATGTCCCCAGCCGCCTGCAATGTGTCCCTGCCACACCCAGGGCCACATGTGTCCCTGTGACCACAGTGCTCTGGGCTCTGGATTTCCTGGTGCTGGGTTGTGTGGGTGGGTGTGGGGGAGGAGATAGGCTCTGGAAATGAGGGGTTAACCCTGTGGACTGGATTCAGGAAGGGGCCCCCTGGCCCTGGCCTTCTGTCTCCCGTAATTTAGGCCCTCAAGTCTGTGGGCCTCAAGTCTATACCCTGGGGACTCTCCCAGCTACTAGGACCTGTCAGGAGCACCCCTCTGTCCCCCCCAACCCCACGTTCTCCAATCAGCCTTAGGAAAGAGCTCCTTCCTAAGGATCTGCCACACCTCCCCAGGACCCCAGTGGAGGGATGAGGGTAGAGCAAGCATCTGGCCACTGCCGGGGAATATTCACTCAACAGAGCAGGAACCCACCCAGCCATCTGCATGGAAGGAAATGAAATCATATCTAGGGCAGCAGAGTCCCCGACCACAGCACCTTCCTCCTAGAGCTTCTGGCTGCGCTGCTGGCCAGGATACCTCCTACCTCTGTGAGGAAGCCCCAGCCTCGTCCAGGTCAGGAGTAAGGGGCCTGAGGAAAGGCCTGCCACCTGGGTTCTGCAGCCACACTCTTCTTATCTTGTGGCTTCTGTGACTGGAGCTCTCACGGAAACCTCCAGGGCTGAGTTCTCTTCCTTGACAACAGGCCCCACCCCATTCCCAGCCTGGGGCCCTCAACCTAGGTGCCTCCTCCAGGAAGGACCCCCCAACCACACAAGCACACAAGCACACATGCATAAGGGATGTGCCTGCTCACAGAAGCCCCACCACCTGAGAGCTTCAGGGACTGTGGCCAAACCCCTTGGTCCTCAGAGACCTTTGCCTCCTCCTGCCCCTCAGGCTCTCAAGACTCTGCTCTGAACCTTGGCACCCACTGGAGCTGCTCCATCTTTGGAGTCTCCCCTGCGTGGCAGGGCTGATCAGTGTGTGACCTAAACCTGATGACTAGAGATGCAGGAAGGCCTCCTAAAAAGAAAATAAGCCAGCTCTTCCAAAGGGACTGGAGGTCCCAAGCTACCCAGGAGGAGAAGTGATCCTAGCTTTGATGTATTTTAGGGACTGCACATTTGATGTTGCCCAGTGTCTGCTGTCCAGGAGGAAGGCAGATTGATGACCAAGTGCTCGAGGTGGGTTAACTCTCACGTCTACTGCTGCCGAAGGGGACCTTTTATTGTTTGTTTGTTTTGAGACAGAGTCTCACTTTGTTGCCCAGGCTAGAGTGTAGTGGCACAATCTCGGCTCACTGCAATCTCTGCCTCCTGGGTTCAAGCGGTTCTTGTGCTTTAACCTCCTGAGTAGCTGGGACTACAGACATGTGCCACCAAGCCTGGCTAAATTTTGTATGTTTAGTAGAGATGGGGTTTTGCCATGTTACCCAGGCTGGTCTCAAACTCCTGGTCTCAAGCAATCTGTCTGCCTCAGCCTCCCAAAATGCTGGGATTACTGGGGTGAACTACCACACCCAGGCTTTATTTATTTATTTATTTATTTTTTCTGAGAAGAAATCTTGCTCTGTCGCCCAGGCTGGAGTGCAGTGGCCGGATCTCAGCTCACTGCAAGCTCCACCTCCCAGGTTTATGCCATTCTCCTGCCTCAGCCTCCC